TCATTTTACCGACCTCGGAAGGATGGAAGGCTGAGTCAACCTTGAGCCAGCTACATGGGATTTGAACCCCAGGTCGTGAGCACAGTTTTAGCTGCAGTACAGCGTTTTAACCACTGCGCCACGAGGCTCATGAGTAAAGTAGCCTTTGTACAGGTTCAGGGGAAGAGTGTTCTGTAGTAGAGAAAAGGTAAAGAACTTGAGAAGTTTGCGTGGGGGAGAGACACCTGATCCAACTTTCCAGCATTTACGTTGACCTGATACAACCTGCCACCTGAATTTTAATTTTCTTGTTTTGTTGCTGGGATAAACTGGCTCAATGGAGCTCCATCAGTAGCTTTTGAAATATTATTTCAAACACTGTTAAGAAATCAAAACCATTATTGTTTATTGTTTTAAACCCTGTTAGGAGATTAAAATCTGCAGGTTGGCATAGTCACCGGAAAAAGGGATGAGGGTCTCGCTTTATGTCAATGACTGGAAGTTGTGGTTCTAATGAAACATTATAATGAAGCTGATTTTCGTAAGAAAGCTCGGTGGACAACTCTCACCTAACCAATAAGTCCTCACTTGTATTACTCCCATTCAGGTATGACTTGCAGTCCCTCAGCCTTGATTTTCTGGAGTTGCTGATGCGCTTCATCCCCACCGAATACGAGCTGACCATGATCCGCAAGTATGAGAAGGAGCAGCGTCCACTTGAGGAGCTTTCAGATGAAGACCAGTTCATGATCAAGTTCAGCAAGATACCCCGCCTGGCAGAACGCATGAACATCATGACCTTTCTAGGCAACTTTGGAGATACCGTACAGCTTCTCCTGCCTGTAAGGAACTAATAGGAGCAGCTCTGTAGTGACTGGGATGAAGCAATGGGCAGGGGGGCGGAATGGGGAGGGGGGTGGGGGTGAAAGAGGGAAAGCTGTGCTGGCCAGGTCCAAAAATTCAGCACAAAAAGATGATGGTTATATATTGTGATTTTTCAATAGGGAATACTTAGCACACTTTCAGGATGTAAAAATGTCTATCAGCTTGCTCTGGTGGCTTGGCATGAGCAGAAGGCAACATACAGCTTCTCATAGGCTGAAGGCACACGGCCAAACACAGCAAAACGCATTCATCTGCTCTGTATTGTTGGGGCAGAGAGAGAAAATCGGGCACATGTGGGATCAGAAGCAGCAATTAGGAGTGTTTTTTTTAAATTAAGCAATTGCATTGGTAATAGGAAGAAATTCTTCAGGTAGGGAGGTAATTAGTGTATTTCAGTTGTGGTCTCTTGAAAAGATCACAGCCACCCTTAACCCACTGTTGGTGCTCAGTTGTGGAGAGGAGAATGTCTGTTTGGAAGAGGGAATTTCAGCAGCAAAATGAGGCCTCCAATATGCGAATTATGGTTGAGGCATTGTCCTCTTCCATGGAAAGAATTTTGCCCCCCCCCTTTTCATCCAGCGCACCTCATGTGTATTGAACTGGGAGCCAGCCATGGGTACAGAAATTGCTACTAATGACAGCATTGTCTTCTGGGCACCTGTAGCTCAGGCTAACTGCTCGCTGAGGCATCGCTAAGCCTTGCCAGCTCTGTGCGGAATTCTGCTTGGTGGTCCAAAGTGAAGAGGTGCTGTGTTAAAAGCAGAGCAGGAAAAAGGATCCACAGCATTCATCATTTGTATTTAGAGTGCTTGTGGGCCCATGCCTTTGCAGGATTAATATGACACAACAAGCAGGACTGTTTAATACCCAACGCCCAGCAAACCTGGCAACTAGAATAATAATACTTAGGAAACACAGCCTTTTGTGTTTTCTAAGCATTGGGGGTGTGGACCTCGCACTGGAATTTTGGGTGAGACATACCCAGCCTGTCTGACCATGAGTTTTCTGCCTAGTTTATGTAGAGTATATAAATTCACAGTTTGATGATTAAAAATCAGAAATTTCTTTTTTATATATAATATTTTATGAATTTTTCAATATATCTACATTTAATTCGTGCTTGTAAAACATTGTGTTACATGGGTTGCTTATAATTATTTGGTTTTGCATCTTGGTGTCTTAATTGTCCCTTCAGAAGCTATACATTTTTTAAGCATTTAAACCAATTGTATGTGTATTTTAGTGTACCATGTTGGATAGTACAGTATCATAATATTGCTCTCATAGTGTACAGTGTTCTCAAAATCCTCTAATATCTGATTTCAAATCTATATAATTTTAAGACAATTTAACCAACCAACTTTGTATTTTATATCAATAATTTTCTTCATATAATTGTTTAGCCATTTCTATCTCCACATTTTCCGTCATGTCTATATCAATATCATATCTAATATATGTTAATTAAGTACTATTTGTTTTACCTCTTTCTTTTATCTAGCTTCAATTCACATTAAGAACCACCATTATTATGCCGTTACCCTGATTAATGATCCGTTATTTCAGTTCAATTCCCTTTCTAATATATAAAATATGTCCCAGTTCCCTTTCTAATATATATGTCCCCTTACAATTCCAGAAGTTAGGTGTCAACATTGAGGGCCACCTTAATATTTTTTTTTCCTTTACATCTTTTCTAAGTAACTTTTTCTCTTGTTTGTCTTTTCCCAATTCTTATTCCTATCTCTCTAAAAATTATGTTATCCCTTGTATCTTCTGAGATCATTTTATGCACTTGATCTATCTCCAATAGATCTTCCAGATTATTTTTAAACTAATTCTGCTGATTCTCTCCCCTTATCTTAGCACACCTAAATTTCTCCTTGGCTCCAGGGTTAGAATTAAATCTCCTACATTTTCTCCAGCCCTTCCTTTGGTTGGCATACATCATCCACCACCCTCACATTTCCTTGTTCGTTATTCCCTGTCTCCTGTTGAATATAGTCCTTCCTTAGCTGCTCCTTGAATAATTTCGCCTTTTCATTGTGGGATCTCACTATTTCTAAAATTGCTTGAAAGGTAGATTTTGTTTCATCCCAAAATTTTTTCCTTGTTATAGCATTATGTCCCCAGATGTCAAGTACTTGTATTCCAAGTGAAGGATGTCCAGTAGCTTAAAGCAATCAGTCCAGTTCCATCAATAATTGCTTCAATAATTCCACTTTAATAGATTGATCATCTTTAGGGTTAATTTTTAATCCAGTCTCAGACGTAGGTTTACAGCCCAGTTCACTCGATGTTCACTGGGCTGTTCATTCATGGCCTAATATGTTTTGTAATTCAGCCCCAAGAACAGTCCATTCCGGTATTGGTTCTATCCTGGCCTGTGTTCCAGTCAGATTCAGAACCCAGGATACATCCAAATGTTTTTATTGGTCTGTATAGATCCACATTAGCCAGATATATATTCCAAGATGAATTGTCTTTGTTAGATGTTTCAGGGTTAATTTGTCTATGTTTTAGCCAGTTCTCAGAGAGGGAAAAAAGGAAAGTCAAAAAAGATTCCAAGCTTGAGTATTCAAGGTCATAGTTCTGGGCTGTTTGCCAGTGCTGTAGATAACTGTAGACAGCTATAACATAAAACAGAGAGCAATTTCTTGATAGAATGAAGATGGCAAGTCAATATAAGACATTTATTTTAAGCAGGGTGGGGAATCTGTGGTTCCCTAAATTTTGTTGTGGCTTGCAGTTCCTATCAGACCTAACCAGCAATGTCAATGATCAGGAGGAAGCGTTTGAGCTATACACGAGGTGCGTGAAGAAAGGAACATGTTCCCCACCCCAACCTAAAGTTTGGGCCTTGGCTTCATCAGGCCCTCCACTCTATCCCAACCACGAAAATCCAGCATTTGCTCCCTTACACTGGATGACCAATTCTAAAACTTGCAATCTGAACTTTTCAAAGTCTGATGAGTTTAGAATTTCAACTGAGTGCTTCAAATGTAGGGCTAGCTCCAACTGGTACACTTGTTTGGGTGGACATTGAAATGGGGATTAAAGATGTTGGGCAAAGAAGGAGAACTGACTATGTTGTCATTGGCCTGTTTCAGCAACTGAACGCCGTCATTGCTGCTTCGATGTCCCTCAAGTCTTCCACCAAATTGCGCCAGATTTTGGAGGTGAGATTCCTTCATGAATTATTATTAAGTCTTCTAGAGCCACCAGCCAGTATGGTAGGACCCCCGTATCCATGGGATCGCTATCTATGGTTTCACTTATCTGCGGTCTGAAAATATTAAAATATTTTTAAACCCAAGAAAAAAAGTATTTCTGCCATGTATTTATCAGAACTAGCCACAAGAGGGAACCAGAGACCATACAATGTATTCTTGTTGTGGATAAATACATAGCACGATATCTGGCTCCCTTTTGTGGCCATTTCTGGTAATATATGGTGAAAATACTTTTTTCTGGATTTTCTTCTTTTACTATGGTATGTATAGTATTTACTATTATCTGTGGTTTTCAGCATCTGCAGAGAGCTTGGAACCAACCACCACCACCACCCCGGATATGGGGGTCTTAATGTATGTCAAACATACACTAAGCAATGTTGTCTATGTGGTATTCCCTTTCCTCCCCGAACTAGAAGTAATGGCCCACAACTTCATGTGAAAAGGGTTTGTATTTTTGAGCATGGAAGAGTAAGAAAAATTGCAAATTAGTCACTAATTTGAACTTTACTTCCAGATGGAAAAATGCAAACAGAACCCATGGCTTATACTGCTGTATCTGCATCAGAAATGGAAGAGTGAAGAGCAGAGCAAAATTACTTAACTTAGCTCAGGCCAGTGTGAAGGAAGCCAAAACTAAAGCAGTGATACAGACAGGGAGGTGTCAGAAAGTCTTCTTATGTGAGGAGGACTTTGGAATCATAGGAATTGTGGTTTTTATGATTCATTGATTGGTTTCTGGAAGTGCCCTACCATGTTCTGGGATGCAGCTGCGGAACTGCTGTGCTGTGCTGCATCAGAAGATAGCCAGGATCATACTTTCCAAAGTGACTAGCCACATACCTCTGGGAAGTCAGCAAACCGTGCACAGAGTCATTGGCTCTCTTGTCCTCTTGCTCCCTAACAACTGGAAATATGGTTCCCTAGTCCTGGAAAGAGCATGTAGTTACCATGGTTAATAACCATTGATAGCCTCATAATGCATTAATTTGCCTAGTTTTCACAGCCATCTAAGTTGGTGACTGTAAACAAGTAGCACTCCATCCGTGGTTTTAACTGTGCATAGAAACTTTGCCTCTAGTCAGCTTCCGTGGTTTTAACCGTGCATAGAAACTTTGCCTCTAGTCAGCTATGCCAGGTGGTAAGCTGCATGGTAGTACCAGAGCAGAAGATCTAGTGTCCATACACACTGCCCTTCTTGTTTTCTGAGCCAGTTTGGTCACCCATAATTTCACTTACAGCAAGTATCTAATTAGGTCCTACACACCTGTGGCTGGTCTCCTTTAGTTCCAGAAGAGCTGAGTGAATCTGCGCTGTTTTAAATTAAATTGCAGTACATGTGTAATATGTGGATTTGCTTTTTTTGCTGTTCTTCTCTGCCATCAAGTCACTTCCAACTTATTATGACCAGCACAGAGTTTTTGAGATTTGTGAAATATTCAAAGGGTAGTTTACCATTGTCCTCCCAGTGAATTTTCGCAACTGGCCAGGGTTTTGAACCCAGGTCTCATGAATCTTAATCTAATATTCTACACCAGCGGTCCCCAACCTTTTTACCCTGTGGACTGGCTGGGGAAGGCAGCCCTCCACACTTGTGCGCATGCACAAAGGAGCGCATGTGCTCTTGTGTGGGTGACCTCACGCTTGTGCATATGCGCAAAGAGCGGCGCAGTGCTCATGCGGGCACGCAGGAGCAAACGGGCTGTGTGGAGGGGCAGTGCATGCAGGGTTGGGGTGGGAGGTCTCTTTCCACAGCCTGGTCCGGCTCAGGCCACGGACCGGCACCGGGCCGTGGACCGAGGGTTGGGGACATCTGCTCTACACTACACTATGATGGCTCTTGAACTTGCCTTTAGCCTCAGGAGAATCTAGGAAGCAATTAGTGATAAGTATGTCTTTGATAATGTATTTTACTTATTTCAAAACATTCCTGTTACACTATTCATTTTAAAAGTCCCCAGGCAGTTTACAATAAAAATAAACACCACCACAAAATCAGTCGCTGCAAAGAATCAAATAACAGAACAATAAAAACAACAAAACATGTCACTGTCATGGGACCTAAATTTTCCTTTTGATGTGGGCCATTTACATAAAAGAACAGAAATTAACTCAATATCTGTGTTACATCTCATTGTTCCCTCTATGTTCTTAGTCCTCAATACGTTGGTTTAATGGAGAGGAGCAGGCCATTCCAGCCCTTTACAATTTATTTTGATTGCTTGTCTGTTTCTCCATAGATTGTCCTTGCATTTGGGAATTACCTGAACAGCAGCAAACGGGGAGCAGCCTATGGGTTCCGATTACAGAGCCTTGATGCAGTAAGTTGCCGTTGGGCATGAAACCTAGTTGATACCTAGTTATGGAGCATTGCATGGTCAAACATTGTAGATTATTTATTGAGCTGTTACTTATGACAAAACAACCCAAGAAAATCTTCGAGTGCATGACCATGATGTGGGCAACCCTTCTCAATGGGGGCCACTGGCACGTCTGGAAACAGTCTGGAAACAATTGTTCACACACCATCTTATAAAGTTTGTTCTGCAACTTATATATTTATGATTTGTCCTATATTTGTTTCACATTGTGTCTATGGCTGTGGCCAAAAAAAAAAAAAGGTTGAGAATCGCTGGTGTACAGGATACTTCCCTAACCTTGGATAAGTAACAGATATAGATCGGATATGATTAGGAATAGAGTGTCTTGGTATCTTCTCTGAGCTTTTTCCTTTTCACAGCATATTGTGTCTATGGCCCTGGCCCCCCCCCAAAAAAAGGCTGAGAATCGCTGATGTACAGGATACTTCCCTAGCCTTGGATGATATAGATCAGATATGATTAGGAATAGAGTGTCTCGGTGTCTTCTCTGAGCTTTTTCCTTTTCACAGCAGAAAACTCTGGCAGAGTATTTGGTTTGAAGGAATTGAATCTGATTTTCCCAATATCCAGGCTTCAGATTATTCTGGACTATGATTTCCATCATCCATACACAATACAAATTACTGCTTTGGTGATGGGGCTTGAAGGCTTCAGGACTATGATTTCCGTCATCCACACACAGTACAAATTACTGCTTTGGTGATGGGGCTTGTAGTTCAATAATATCTGAGGGCCAAGTTGGGGAGAAGGTAAATTATTGAGTCTGGACTATTCCCCCCAAAAGCTCCAACTTTCCTATGATTTACTAATACTTTCAGCATAACAAGGAAGGTTCTCCTTTCTTGGCTGCTCAGAAGATGGATAGAGCAAGCTTAACAGAGCTAAGAACAATGTAGTGTCAGGGCTACAGTTTGTGTGTTGCAGGATCCAAAAACAGGGAGTAAGCAATGACAGCTGTAGGAGGCAAATACAAGCAAATGTAAGGGTAGGTATGGTGTTAGAACGTGGGTCCTTTATTTTGACACTATTTTGTTTCTGTTTCTCTCTGCAGCTTTTAGATATGAAATCAACAGATCGGAAGCAGACGCTGCTTCATTACATAGTGCGTGTGATCCAGGAGAAATATCCTGACCTTCTGAACTTCTCCAGTGAACTGCATTTCCTAGACAAAGCAGCCACAGGTGTGGAGCCGGTGGGTTGTAGGCAGGAGGGGAGTAGTGAGTCACCTTCACGGTGAAGAAAGGGATGCTGCTCCATCTCTCTTGGGCCCTGGGGTTTGTATGGGAGGATGGGGCTGAGTAGGAAAGCTGACCTACTCTACAAAATTGGTTCCAAAATGTCTCCCCAAGGGGGACAAATTGACTTGATCCACAACGCCTCACTCTTCTTTCTTCTGCCTTTCTCTCATCTGTTCCTTTTTAGTGTCACTGGACAGTGTGTTCCAAGATGTGCGAGGCTTACAGAGAGGCATGGAGCTAACACGCAAAGAGTTTATGCGCCAGGATGACAGTGCTGTGCTGAAGGACTTCCTCAAGGCCAACACAGAAGTGATGGAGAAACTCCAGGCAGACAGCAAAACTGCACAGGTGAGGGTGTGGTCTAGGAGCTGTTGTCAGGACAACTGGAAAATATAGAGGGCGACCAGACTTGAAACAGAGCTTGCCAACATTTGGGGTGGGGTGAATCACTCTGTTCTTCATATAGCAAGCTGGGGGGCAACATTAGATTTTTTTTACTGCTTTTAGAGTTTTCAGGCTAATGTGCCTGAATGGCTACTGACAGGTTTTGTTGCATGCACAATCCAAAGGGATAATTAAGATTTGTGTCAAGCCTTTCATGTGCAAACAAATATATGGAGGCACATAAACAATAGGGGGTGGGGTGGGAATGGTGTTTAAATTCTGTTGAGGCACCAGTTGCTTGTCCTTTGCTTTTTAAAATAGCAGTTGAAGGATGAAAACAAATGATAATAGGTATTGTGACTGGACATTGTTCATGTTGCATGTATATATATAATTTCCCTGCCATGGAAGGGTAATGCTTTATATTTTGTAGGCCAGGAAAAGGCCATATTAAATGTGTTCTCTAAAGTTGCATGGGGATGTGGTGGCGCTGCGGACTAAACCGCAGAAGCCTGTGCTGCAGGGTCAGAAGACCAAGCAGTCGTAAGATTGAATCCACACGACGGAGTGAGTGCCTGTCGCTTGTCCCAGCTCCCGCCAACCTAGCGGTTCGAAAGCATGCAAATGCAAGTAGATAAATAGGGACCACCTTGGTGAGAAGGTAACAGCATTGCGTGTCTAAGTCGCACTGGCCATGTGACCACGGAAGATTATCTTCGGACAAAAACGCTGGCTCTGTGGCTTGGAAACGGGGATGAGCACCGCCCCCTAGAGTCGATCACGACTGGACAAAAATTGTCAAGGGGAACCTTTACCTTTACCTAAAGTTGCATAGAGCTCTTCACTTTTCTTTATAAAACAAGTTAACAGCGTAAATTTTGAAATTGGCCCTAAATCATCCACAGGTATCAAGGAAGAAGGTAAACCCATTTGTCACTGTCACAGCTACTCTGGTGCTGTTGGGTATAATTCTGAGGTATTTTTCCCCCTTGCTGTGTAGGAGGCCTATGAATCGACAGTGGAGTTCTTTGGTGAGAACCCCAAAACCACCCCTCCAACCATGTTCTTCCCCACGTTTGTTCGTTTTGTCAAAGCGTACAAGGTAAGAGCCATGTTTCTTATTTGAGGTATTGCAACTAGTGAATCTTCAGGTTTGGGTCTCACTTGGGTTGCAATCTCACAAGATGCCCTCCCTCACAACTTTGTCTCCGGATCCTTCCAGAGGCCTGTTAATGCTGCTAGTTAAAAGGCGGTTTCATCTTTCCCCTCTTTTTCTCAGTTGGAAAAGGATGGGAGTGGTGGGGGAGCAGTGGGGGTTACAAACAGAAGCCATCATCATCTGGGCCCCTGTCAAATGCTGCGTTTGAGGCAGGCTGGCTTCAGGATGAAATCCTCCCCTGAAAGCATCTTTGGTTCCAGTCCTACATTTGTGATCAACATAGTTTTATTGTTAATTCTTATTTATATATGTTACATTTACAGTATATTCCATCTTTCCTTCACTAAGTTCAAGGCAGCTTTCATGGCATTCCACTTTCTCTTCTTTAACCTGAGAACAACCCTGTGAGGTCACGTTGAGATACTGTGGCTGGCCCAAGGTTACCCAGGGAGTAACTGTTCAGGGACGTTTGAGCCCAGGTCTCCTGAATCCAAGTCTACTGCTTTTAATCACTGCACCACCGTGGCCTCTCAGTACTGCCTCACTTGACAGGAATTTTGTAAACACTGATGTAGTGAGATGTAAGGAATACATCACATTCTTAAAATATATAAAGTTTTGGAGTTTTGGGGCTGTTTGGCCATGTTCTGGATAATCAAAATTGCTAATAAAATAACTTTTGTTATTCGGTGTTGAATTTGGTGTATGCATAGAGGAATGATGAGGCTGAGGCTACTGGTCTCTCTTTCAAAGTGTTCAGACTGGTGCATTTACTTAACTATTGCATTAGCATCTCCTCTTTTTAATGAGATTTTGCCATCATTTTAGGATAACATCTGTAATAAAAGAGTGATTAGCAGCTGTGGACATTGCTATAGGAAACAAGTGTGCCTCTACACGTCTGATTTTTTTAAAATCACTTTCTGACTTAATCACTTCCTACTATTAATAGTAATGGTGGACAATTTAGGGCCTGGAATAACAGGTGTAGAATAAGCAAAAAAGTGCTTCTGAAATTTATCTCAGGTCACAATGTTTGATTGTCCAGAGAACCTATTTTGTCCTTTATCTGCTGCCCCAGTATTTCTAAATACACCTACAAACAACTGGATTTGTCAGCATGATCATTTTAATTCCTTCTTCTACTGAGCTGGATTGGTCCTATGCCTAAGCAAAACTGAACCATTGTTTCTGCATACCTGGGTTACTATCTCATTACAGAGAAAAGTATCATTAGTTTGTAAATGTAATAGAAAAGTAGCTTGGGGGGGGGGAATCTAAACAGCCACTAAGGACACATGAGCGTGCAGGACCTGTTGAGGGCAGTTGAAGCCACTGCATGTTGAGGGTGTTAGTTCTGGCAGTGGGGGACGGTGAGAAGGGAAATGGGAGTAGGGAATAGTGAATCACCATGCTTCTATCTGTTTGTGGCTGAAAATCCTGTAGTTCAGTTTAGTAAGCTGCACTAGAGGGGGTCCATTGAATCAGTGGAGATTTGGTGAATTAAACTCCCCTGTTCAGTTCCCTTGATTCAATGGACCTACTCTAGGTGCAGCTTATTGTGCTAAGCAGTAGGATTTCAACCAATAATTCATAGTACCCTGAAGACTAGGGTTGGAGGAACACATGCTGTGATTTGGAAAAGAAAAAAAAACTCTCCACAAGGTATAGACGAGTTTTCAGGAGGAAGGAAAGGAAGGGCTTGTGAGAGGGGGAAGAGTTCTGTCATTTTGCTTGTATTTGTGGCTGCTGAAGGTCACATCTCTCCTTTTCTGTCTCGTGAAAAGAAAGCAGAGGATGATATCCTGTTGTGGAAGAAGCAGGAAGCAGCTGCCAAAGAGGAGGAGTTGGATTTCCCCAAGAAAGAGGAGCAGGGGCCACCAAAAGTATGTGTATGGATATTTTTTCTTACTTTTCCTTTCCTCCCCCCTCCGCCTTTCTCCCTTCTGCCTCGAGTTCAAATTGCTAGAATTCCACACTAAACCATATTCTGCCACTGAAATAAGGGATCAAATGTAAATGTGGCCAATGATCCCCTTGCTTTCTGAATTTTTTAAAAGAATGTATTCCAGTACCTGTTTCCTGACAGTTTTCATAGAGATGGCCATGCTAGTCTTCTCCAGCATATATAACAAAAAAACAAAACAAAACAAAAACACAAAAGAGTTGTGACACCTTTAAGACTCACAGATTTATTTCAGTGTGGCCATGTTAGTCTGCTCCAGCATATATAACAAAAAAATAACAACAAAAGAGTTGTGGCACCTTTAAGACTCACAGATTTATTTCAGTGTGAGCTTTTCTGGATTACAAGCCACTCCCTCAGACACATGGAACTTTATAATTAAGCTACAGGTTTATAAAGAGAAAATCGATGGGGGGGGGGAAGGAAGAGAAACATGTGCTGTCAGGAAAAGAGGGTGGCAATGACAATTGAAATTTGTGCCCATTGATAAAGATAAGGGAGGGTTCATTACCAAAGGTACCGTCACCCTCTTTTTTTTTCCAAATAGGCCATTTGTTCTCCCACCATGTATTCTAAGTGACCTAATTATTAGTCTGTGTATCTGAAGGAGAGGCTTGTAATTCACAAGAGCTTACCCTGAAATGAATCTATGTCTTTTCAGGTGCTACAGCTCTTATCTTTCTATATTTGTTCTACACACTTTCTGAGAACAGGTGCTATCCTTCATAGGGAGTAAGGCACAGAAAACACAGATTTAGAAAGGAAAATTTGAATAGATGTGCAGTCATGCTGTGGGTCTCGTTTGGTTCTGAAGTTACAGAAACATAAAATGAGAGGATTTTTTTTAAAAAAACCTGAGGATTGTGACAGGAGTGATGGAAGATTTGATGGCTGGGTCTGGTTAGGTGTCTCTTTCAGAGCAGAGTGGAACATATTCTCCCACCAAACCCTTTCCTCAAAGTGACCCTGACAAATACAAATTGTTGTCCATTAGGGTTTTATGTTTAAGTCCTAATTCTTACTAGTGGGTTGTTTCTTTCATCCTATTTGTTGTACTTTTTTCATTTTTAAAAAGCATATTTATCTGCTATCTGTGAATTTTGTTGTGAATAGATGAGTTAAAAAGGCAATTACCTCATACTAGAATTGACGTCTAGCAGCAGTAGCAGCACTACCCAGTACCACGAACAGCTGCCTGATGGGAAGGTTGTCTTCCACACAGGCATCTCAAATGTCAGGGATTTGTGTGTGAGAGAGAGAGCAAGAGGCCTCAGGAACCATTTCTCTCTTTTGCCAGTCCCCCACCCATAAACGTCAGCAGCGCCAGCAAATGGATCTCATAGCAGAGCTGAAGAAGAAGCAGATGGTAAAGGAGCCCCTCATTTACGAAGAGAAGGATGGAGCTATTGAAGATATTATTACAGGTGAGGAGACCTCTTTGGTTTACCAGTGGACTCTCAAATCTTTGCAGATCTTCTGTAGAAAACAGGTGGGAGCTTCCTAGAGTCTCACTGCATGGGGAAGGTAGTTCTCTGTGACCCAAACCACTATCCCTGCAGCCACCCAGATGTATTTGGGGAAGCAGAGTAATTGATGATAGACTTCACTGTTTGGTCCACATGCACTGTTGATAACCTCCTTATGAAGTTATGGGTGCCAGGAAGAAAGCAAACTGGTACCTTGTTTTATTTGTCTGGACCCATGCTGTCTCTGTTGAGAACAAATGTTAGTTTAGCACAATTCTAACAGTAGCTCATATGACTGGGCATTGCGCTACGTTTTTATAACTGGAGTTGCAAGCTTTCTAGGCAATCAGTTAATAATGAATGGTTTTATTTTTAGTTTTAATCAGTTCCATCTACCATGAATAGGGTGGTAAACTGGAGTCACCTTGCAAAGTCATGTCTAGATCTTTCAGGTTTTGTGGAAGATACACAGCCACAAACATTCATACCCAGCAGTATTGGTTGGGGGCCAGGCTGCAAAGGATGTTTCTGCCACTGCCAGTCAATTTGCTCTAAGGTCAGCGTCACAGAAGCACATGCCCCCGTTGCTCTGCCCTTCTTACACTTTGTCTGTTTTCTGCAAGTGAACTAATCTATTTTTATGAATTGCTGTAAAGTGCAGCACTAAGAGTAGCCATGTTGCTGCCAGATGACCATTTCCAGGATTTGGGGGAGGGAAAGGCATGCGTAACAGATAAACCGCTCTAGGTGTGTATACAATTGGAGATCCTGTGCTTCTCTGTAGGATCTGTCCTTACTTGCTTGCCTTCTGCTCTTCTTTTTCTCTTTCTTCTTGTTTCCCTTCTTTCTCTCCTTGATGTTTTCCTGGAACTATACATTCTTCAGCTCTGAAGACAGTTCCTTTTACCGCTCGGACGGGCAAACGCTCATCACGTCTCTTCTGTGATGCCAGCTTCAATGAAGAGAGCCCCCTCTAGCTTGTGGCTTTAGGTATCAAGGGCACAGAAGGGTTGGGCTTCTTTAAGAACATATGGTTGACAATAATGGTATATGAAGCATGTTTGTCTTTTGTCATTATCATCCCTCCCCCCCCCAAGACATCAGGGTATAGCACATGGTCCCACCTTCTTAATTCCCTTAGTAAGCCTATTAAGGCTGAGAGAGGGATGCATGCCTTCCACAAGGATAGTTGTAGACCATCTTGAACATTAATTCTTGTAAGAATCTTGACAAATCAGAACCTTTGCTTGATTATATAACTGGACATATTTGTGATAGTGTATGCCAGCTTTCTTGCATGTTCTGATAAACCCTTCTTTCAAAGCATTTGATATGTTCTGCATTACAATTATTTGTAGTTGTGTGTGTGTGTGGAGCTCATGCGTATCTTACATACACTACTCTCTAAGCAGTATAATAAAGCTTTATGCTTTCTTCTGTGGCAGGCCTACGGAACCAGCCATATCGACGGGGGGACACCGGCCGGCACAGTGGCAGAAAACGGATTGCTGGGCAGACTCTACAGGTGACCTCCGACATCTCACTGTGACAGCCACAAATAAAAACAACCAGCCAAGCCTTAGTTCTGCAGGGTGAGGCAAGAACTCAGGGGGTTCATCGTCAACAGGCCTGGAACAAAAGCTATCCAAGGAAGAAGGGGAGGGTGCAGGGCATGCTGGTTTTTATCCCTGCTGCTTTTAAAGCCACCTGTGGGCTTTTGCACATGGAAGCCATGCCAGTTAGTCTGTCGGACCCATCGAGCTTAATTCTGAACTCCAGAACAATCTCCTTGCTCACCCTAGAATTCCGGTTCTAGTGGGGAAAGAGGTTCTACTCTGTACCACAAGGAAATAGCCAGTGGTGCTCAAAGGCAACTCCAACTACACCATGACCACCAAACTGGTCAGAAGCACCTTCTACAGCAGAGGACTCTTTGCAGCTGGGGCCTCCTTTGAACAAGAAGCAAGTAACTCAGCGGGTATGGATTCCTGTTCCCACCAACCTTTTCACTCAGCTGGCCCTGCGTCCTTCCCATATATCCTGCTGCTGGGCCCTTTATTCTGCTTTAATTCTCCGGTGTTCCATCTGGCCCAGAAGAGATGTGGTGTGGAGTTTTCAAGCCGATTCTCCTCTTTTCTTCCCTCACGACATGAAAGGTGCTGTTTGTCAACAGAAATAATGCTTGTGTGCTCATAGAAAGGGGGTGGCCCAGGAATGTGTAACCTCAGGATCCTTTAAGCCATTCTAACATGATGCAACAGGGCTACCTAACCAGTAGGTTACAGAGGACTTTGGGCTGTTCCTGGGTCTCAGCAAGCACCCTGTACAGAACAGGAGCACTTTTAACTTTCCTTGGAGGTGTCCTGCAGTTTCAGTACTCTGAAACCCAAACTACAGACAGCACTTCAGTCTATGAAGCAAAGTGAGTTGGCTTCAGTGGCTCATAGCCTCTGCAGTTCTGTTTTCCACATTATCTGGGCGCAGGCCTGTAGATAGGCCAGGCCTGCTGCTTCCCTACAGCTGGAGATTTCTGACAGCACACTCTTGAGTACCTTAGCAGGGCTGTTGTGCTATTTGATGGTGGCAGAAAGTGAAAAAGAAGCATGCAAAGCTGACCAAATATGCATGGACAATTCAGCTGGTTCTTTATGGTGGTTATGTTTCCTTAAAGCAGGGGTGGACAACCTGGGGCCTTCGACATGTTATTGGACTGCAGCTCCCCTCATCATGCTGCCTAGGGCTGCAAGGGTTACAGCCCAAGAACATCTAGAGAGCCACACATTGCCTAACCATGCTTGAAAATATAGAGACCTTTTGTTGTAGCACAAGCAACCTAAGGGAGCAGACCTGGGCACTGGAACAGCATCTCAGGATTTTTTTTGGGGGGGGTGTTTTTGTTTTGTTTTGTTTTTAAGCACAGGTGTCCCTTTGGCACTTTTAAACAACTCACTCTGATGCAAGCAAGTGCAAGAGGTTTTGTGACAATCAACTGGGTGTTGCAGTTGCTGTTCATTTTCTTGCCACAAGAGGTCTCCATTATGTGTGGGGTTTTCACTGGTGCTTTTTCAGCACCATACAGATATTGCCCCGGGTACTGTCTTTCTCTTCTGCTTCTCAGATCTGTACTCTTGAAACCCCTTCTACGACCAGACAGAACAAATATAGAGTGAAAGTGATGCTAATTAGGACTGGGCAGTGTCTCTGCACAGAGATTAATGTGGGATCAGATTTTGGAAGGATTCTACAACAGCATACTTCTGTACCTGTAAAGGCAAGCCGTCTGCATCACCCTAGCAAGCACATGATCAAAATCCTTCAGCAACCTTGCTCCATAAAGATCCTACCCTGTAGCTGCCCCCACCTCCACCTGTGAACTGGTCCTATGCATTCTACATTTTTAGTTTTTTACCTCTGAGGGATGGGGAAATAGGTTATGAAAACTCCAACGCTATGTAAAGGGAATGAATTTGTCATTCATCCCCTCCATCCTTTGTGGATGGAGATCATTACACCTTTGCTTCCTATAATCTGGCCACATCTTGGCACAAATCTAGGTCCCTAGAGAAGTTTGTGCCTGCAGAGCACACTGGTTATGCAAAGGACCATAGCAAAGATGCATTCTTGCACCTCCCCTTCACTCCAGCATGCAAATTCCACAGCAGCAAGTGCACGCTCTCTGGCAATGTTGATGGGCCTACACAACAAATCTGCTAGGATGAAACTAAACTTTCAAAAAGGTAGAGCAATGCTAAGGCCAACTTCCCCGCTTCCCGTATCATCCTGTTCCAGACCTGAAAGCTACATAATTGCATAGAAGCCCAAGTTCTAGATTTAGGTTACCACTGCTTTCTCCTTAACTTAAAAGCAGCTAAAAATGACCACAGTACACTCTCGGCATAGCAACTTCGCACACAGATTCAATATACTGGGGGTGGGTGGGCGGCGGGATGGGGTGTTAGGAGGCGAATTGAATGTGTGCAATCATATTGAGTTTTTAAAAATGCCTTGAATCATATAGGGGAAGACCACAATGCCCTATATGGTTGCTACTTTGTATACATTATTTTTATATATGATTATGTGAATTGCATTTAATCCAAAGCAAGTTAACAAGAGAAAATAATAAATGTATTCTAAAGATGCAAAAGGTGTCCTTTGTGTGCAGAATGTGCTGGACGAAGAAATTCAAGTTAACTTCTTGTACTTCTAGTGTAAAATTCCATTAACAGTGATATACCCGCCCTTGGCAACACCTATGAATGTGGATCCTTAGTATTTTAGAGATCTCTGTCTAAAATACTATACTAGGAATAGTGCAGAGGTGTCTAGATTACCCAAATTGTATGTCATTTGCAGCTTGCGTGCCAAAATAAGGTTACATGTGTGAAAAATAGCTGGTGACTCCCACATCAGGGTTTTAAATATGGCGTCCACATCGGCCACTTACTTGCCTTGTTGTACAGTACAGTATATGTGCTTACAGCAGACTTGTCATTTGGTTCACACGTAGCTGCCTAGAGACATCACAGGCTATGTACTGTAGATAGCATAAATTATCACTGTATAAACTGAGATTTTTTCAAAAAAAAAAAAAAGATTTTACAAATTCCTATAGAAAAGGTCTGTCTGTCAGTATTAACTGTACTAATTAATAGCCCCCAAACTCCACCCCTGTTCAGACACAGCATGTCTCTGGTATATCAGGAAGGAGAGCTACTACCTTTACATCTTGTTTGTGGGCTTCCCAAAAGATTGGGTTGAACTGTTAAGAACAGGGTACCATTCCTAAAGGACCTTTGGTCTGATCCAGCAGTACTTTTCTTAACATTAACTAGACACCTTGGTTCACTCTCAGAAGCACTTTCATCTCACATGAACTAGTTTTTAAATAAGGTGTAAACAATATGGGCGCCTAAGTGTGTTCTATCGTTATCATATTGTAAAGGAAAACAATATCAACCATTTTGAATAGAAGATTCAAGCAGCACAAATAACCAACTGATGTCCTTCTATCATCTGAGTGTATGTAGTTCTTCTGAAGAACTTAAGTGTTTACATAATGGGCAGCTTAATGTAGATGCTGATAGTAAGCGAGTTATTATGGCCCCTGCCTAGAGAGACTCAAGTGACCTTTGGGAATACGGATGTTGGTTCTTGCCATTGTAAAGCCCCAAGCCAGAGCCAAGAGGCTTATGTGGGAGTGCCGTCGCTCCCATCACATTCTAGCACAACTCAGACTACTCCCCCACCTTCTCCGCCTAGGAAAGAGGACAAACAGGTGGATACTGGCGAGTTGGACTATGGTCCCTACCTAGAGAGACTCAAGTGACCTTTGGGAATACGGATGTTGGTTCTTGCCATTGTAAAGCCCCAAGCCAGAGCCAAGAGGCTTATGTGGGAGTGCCGTCGCTCCCATCACATTCTAGCACAACTCAGACTACTCCCCCACCTTCTCCGCCTAGGAAAGAGGACAAACAGGTGGATACTGGCGAGTTGGACGAAATAAGAGAAAGGGAACGGCAGAAACATCAAGGGGTCGACACTAGTGACCTGGTGGAGGTGATGAAAGGGTTAAACATAATGAGCAAGCCCAGGAGAAGTTTGACGGGAAGCGGGGGAGGAGAGAGAGAGGCAGGAGCCGGGGATATAAGAGCGAAGGGAAGCGGGATCCACATAATGAGCAAGCCCTGGAGAAGTTTGATGGGAAGCTGGGGAGGAGAGATAGAGGCGGGAGCCGGGGATATAAGAGCAAAGGGAAGCGGGATCCCGGGGGGGCTGGGAAATTATCTGGGTCCAGGACCCCTGGTCTGGGGCCTGGGAGCAAGTAAAGGTACCTCACGAGGAGGCGAAGAGACAGAGAAGACAAGGACAACGACCCCGTCCTTCATACTGGGGAGAGTCGGAGGCTAAAGAGTGGAGACGCCGGCTGAGAGAGGAGAGAGAAGCTGTGACGAGAGAGCTTGAGAGAAAGAAAGCATGGCATCTTGTTGAGTTACAGACGATGGGGGTCTACCCAGACCGTGGTTGGCCTCCGGACTGTGCTTGGCCAGCCCAGGAGAGGGGTCCTCATTCTGGGGCTGGAGTGGGGATGAGGAGACCCTTCCCCTAATTGAACCTGAGGGAGAAGGCGTTGAAGAACCCATCCTGGAGAAGGTTGCGCCAGGACCATGGACGTTTGAGGACAGTAACTCATTGGCAATGTTTGGACGCCCTTACGGTCAGGGGCCAGGACCATGTATGTTTGAGGACAGTAACCCTTTTGTTGGCAATGTTTGGACGCCCTTACGGTCAGAGTTTAGACCGCAAGAGACATTAGAACCTGTTCCTAAAGAAGTTCCAGTTAATGTTGAAGTGTTATTAAATACAGACAAAATTGAACGGTTAAAACCATCTCGTACTTTATTGGAAGTGACTGACCCCCCTAACATTGAACCCTCACAGCCATGCACAACATTTTTGTGAATCATCCAATTAGAATCCAGACCATTCATTCGAAATTGTGTGTGTGCACGTTAGCCCATCCTGGGCTTTGTTCCCATCATGTATCTCAAATGCAACCTGATCTGGCTAACCGTTTCAAGACCGCTTCATGCTAGCTTTGGTGGATCTTTATGCACATACTGAAGATATGATTAAAGCAAGCCACAACTTAATCAGTAGTGTGCTCTATCTTTTAGTAGCATCTGCTTGGTTAGGTAGTTGATACCAGAACAGTGCTTTTCCATAGCTCACAGCCAACCACTTTGAAGACACCAAGTAGCCTGCACTGCTTTTAAGCAGCAGGGAAGGCCAAGACAGATACTGTCTTATCTCTCCACTCAAAGTAAATCACACTTGGAAGCTACTCAAAAACAAAGACGCCAAGAGCAGAGCACACCAATGGACAGTGTTAGCTAGCAAAATTAACAGACCTACAAAGAATGGTCTGAAAGGCTTCATAGTTTTATTGCATTCATGTCCTTGATCAAAATATTTACATTAAGAGTCCTAGTGGGCTACAACATAAGGGCAAAGATTAACAGTTTTAGGGCACTTTGTGGTTATTATGCACAAAACCTGCTGGCATCCTCCTGCGAAACTAAGAGCTCTAAAGAGCAGAAGGCCCCTTCAGCTCTGTCTTCTAGCAGCTGCACCCCAGCAGCAAATGTAGCTCTTTACACCCACACAACAAAAACAATACTCTTTTTTTTTTAAAAAGCAACTTGCATACCAAGTAGGAAGTGCACCTGTGAAGTGAATGAATGAATGCACACAAGCCAACAAAATAGTGTTTCTGTAACACATAACATAGGTAACATCCTTCGCAAAAGTAGTTTCCTAAAAATAGGTTAATGCAGTGACTACCTGAAAACCAGACAGGGGGAACTATGTAGAGAAGGAATACAAACATTTATGTGCTAGCCCTTATGTAAAATGGAAGTGGAATCAACATGTAATCAGCTGCTAGGGCAGTAAAAACCATCCCATGTTTCTTGTTCTTATGAGTCTGGAAAATTCCCTGATACTTGTCAGCAGCAGCTCAATATACATTCTCTTCACTAAAGACCTACACGAATCCACTGAGTTTCCTTTGCATGTCAAGACTCAGGTTAACTGGTGCCTTGCCAGACTTCTACATGGAAAGATAAGCTTGAAAGAAGTTCTGACACCTGGCCAGTTTTACCACAGGCAGGATAATAATTCTACACCACCTGTTGGTCACACCACTCTAAGAGCAAGATTGGGAAGACACTGGTGTCCTGAGTAGCTTGATGTGACATATTTTCTATTTGCTTTGGTGGAAATGTATCTGAGTGTATGTGGGGGGAGGAAAGACCAAAAGGAACAAAATTACAGAGAGGGTGGGATGCTTCTAATGTTACTCTACAGTAGAACTCTGTCTATTGCACCTTTCCTGTATAGACACAGCTTGTCTTGAAGCTGCCCAGCCTTGATTCTGAAAGCTAAATATTCCATGCAATAAACTGATCAAGGAAAATGTTCAGATTCTCAACTTAGTATGCTGCTGGTTAGGTTCTGTCAGCTAGACATCCTTGCACCAAACAAGGAAAAATAACACATACCTATAGCAGCTCCCTCCTACCATGCTGTCTGGTCTAATCACTTCCATTTACTTATTAATGCCTCTTTGCACAAAGTAAATCCACTGTACAAAAAGCATACATCACGGCAATTGATTATGTTCACACAGACCTTAACTTTAAAAATGCCTGGATTTACTGTACTGTTTTGCCTAATTGATTCCAAGGCCAGATTTTACACAAGACTTTCCTGCAGCAAAGCCACCCCAGGGCCACGTCACAAAATAAAACCAATTTGCTGTAATACAGAATTGGGGTTTCTTAGGTTAAGATCCTATGCATATATATTTGGGAATATGCTCTGTGGTTTCAATTGGCTTATTTTCCAGTAAACATGGATAGGTGCTGCAGCATTAGTTTAGTTTTCTCTGGGTTGGGGTTTAATGAAATCACAACACAGACCAATTTTTTTTAAAAACTTACTGTTTTCCTTTCTAATTCTATGCCCTCTTTTAATTTGCTGCCTTTAAAAAGTCCTATGGGGTGAGATCGAAACTGTGATAGCAAACCTCAGGACCAAGGCACAGGTTAGAGTTTCCTACTAACATAGGTCCCTTCACAGGTTTATATGTTTGGTTCTCGCTGCCCTTTTACATAATTGGTGCCTTAACAAAAGCCCCTGCAGAAATGAAAGAACATAAGGAGCAGGCACTGAGATGCTGAGCAAAGCATACTGAAAAATGTCACTGTCATACTTGTCTGAGCCAGTAAGAGTGCTAGTCAAAAGACTGCAAGGTTCAGCACCCTAGGAGCAACTGGTACATGCATGCATATACATACAGCAGAAAAAGATCTTCTTTGCAAAAGTCTCAGCCTTTCACCAACTCATGCATCTGCTCCTCTTTAACACTTCTATGCTGGCTTGCTTTGCAATGTTGCTGCTGCGGCAGCAAGAGATTACAGCTAGGCTGAGCAACAACAGCCTTTCAGGTGTGACTGGACTGCAACTTCAACCATCCCTCCCTCTTGGCTATGCTGCAAGGCAAAGTCATCTGGAGGGCCACAGTAGCCAAACCTTGCTGTATAGTTTTTAGTTACCTCCTATTTTTTGTTTGTGAGAGAAAAGGGTTTGCTCCCTAAGGGAAGAAGGAAGAATTATGGATGTGAGCTTGAAAGGGTATGTGTGTGAGTGTGAAACAGTGATAGTATGAATAAGGGTGCATAGATAAGTATAATGCTATATGATGTATAGATAAGTATGAATGCAACATCTGTGTGGGTTTAGCCACACCTACTTTTTTTTTTTACTTTTAACCCTGCCCAGTAGCGGCATACAGGCCCCTGGAAGGTTATCCACAAAGGAATTCAGCCCTCAAAGAGAGAAAAAGAAAAAAGAGGGAAAAAGGCACCTATTTCTGATGTAGACTGCCTGCATTCAATATGTTGGGACAAAAAGTGGTGCAGGTCCAAAATGTGTCTGTTCAATTGTATCTCTTATGACTGTCCAGTCATAAAGGAAATGGTATCCACTTAGGATTTGATGTATGCAATGCGACTTATTGACACTGATCTTCTGTCACAGATTTTAGAATTTTGCAGATTACTATCATTTAGGTTGAAGATATTTCCCTACAAATCTAATGTATGCTGCTTACTAAATTCAGAGCCCAGTTTTCCCTCAAGGTGCTATGGGGCAATCTTAGAGCCTCATAACAAGCTTATCTGGGCAACTGAAGCTTAGGAAGCCCCACTTGGCTACAAGGCTTTTGCCTCTTGTTTTTCATTTGTTTGTTTTGTTTTATATTACTTGGACAAGGTCACTCACAAACCACTCACCTGGATTTCTCACATATGAGCCCAAGGGTCCAGCCACTGTACTACAAAATGTAAGACTTTTTCAGCTATGGGGCCACTGTGACTCTCTAATTAAGAAACTAGCCATCTGTCTAAAAAACAGCTGGCTATGCTCTTTCCAGTGTTCTGGATCAGCCATGATCATTTCGTTGATGTTATTTATGCACAGCTTTCAGGAGATTCTGCCCAAGTGGATCAAATGCAACCAAGAAGCAGAGAGGGGAAATTTTCCTCTTTAGAAGATTACCAATGATTCACAGCCGGCAACAATTTTGACCACTGATCCATCTGAAAACATCACAGCTGACTCTGGGAGGTGGATGGGTGATTATCAAGGAGTAGCCTTTTCCATACTCGTACCTTGCGAATGTGTTGGACTACAAATGCCAGTGGCTGTAATCCAACTCATACAGTGGACACCAAACTGGTGAAGGTTGTCACAGATCATATGATGGAACGGACAGAATTTCTTATGGCCTCTTTTCCAGGTGACCATGTTTGACCCTCCAAGCCCAGCCACGGCTGCAGTCAGGGGCAAGAGTGCACTGAAGTTCGATGCCCGAATCAGGGATGCCCATCTCACAGCAAACTGGCTGACCTTCCTTTGTGAAGAAGCTAAATGCTGAGGCTGGTATCTGTCAAAGCAACATACAAAAGGTGAAGCAGGCCAACTGTGCCACAAATCACACCCAAGTGATTCCTCCAGTGTATATCATACTCTATGGAAGTAATGCTCCCTCACATAAATTAAGAAAGCAGTAGCATTGTATGGAGTGGCATTGTATCTGAACCTCAGACAAATTCAAATGAGGCAGAAATCGCTTGTTTGAAAGAAAGCAAACTTTAAAATTGTATAGCGTACAACCCTTTGAAGATCAGTGTCTCAAAGAGGCCTAGGGCAGTGGTTCCCAAATGTTTTGGACTCATGGCTCCCCTGAGTGTGAGTCCAAAACTGGTAGCAGTGGCAGAGCAGGAGGAGCGGCAAGGGGTGTGGGACAGAGCAGGAAACCCAAGGGAGCTAGAGGAGGAAGAGCAGCACCACCACCACTGGCTCAGCGAAAAAGCAAAGAGAAACCTTGGCTGGCTGGCTTGATGACACACCAGGAAGCCACAGGGCACTATGGCACACACTTCGGCAAGCTTTGGCCTAGGGCAGTGATGGCGAACCCATGGCACGCGTGCCACAGCTGGCACACAGAGCCCTCTCTGCTCTCTGCGGGCACAAAAGCCATAAATCACCATAGAAAAATACTTACCCGTTCTCCAATTCCGGATTTCGGCACTCCCCTCTGCTGCTGCAGTAGTCCAGCAGAGGGCTGCAATGGTGACCATTACCAGTCTAGCCCAATGGGGGACTGGAGGATCAGTAAGTATTTATTTGTTAATACCGCCCATAGGGGAAAAAACACACCAAGCATTTAACCCTTGCAGTGCAGGAGGAGTTGTTTTTTCTAAACCAAAACCTCAGCATTCGGGTTTTAATTACAGTATTGGCACTCTGAAATAAATAAGTTGATTTTGTGTTGCAATTTGGGCACTCGGGCTCAAAAAGGTTCACTATCACTGGCTTAGGGGGATCGAGGCTGTTCCTATGTATTCCCATTTTCCAATCCCCTGTTCTCTAATCAAAGCAGGAAAGTTCACTAATGAGGTTGAGAGGGGCTGGACTCAATGATCCATAGGGTCCAGCTCTGCAGTTCTAAGATGACGATGACGATGATGTTTATAATGAAACACCCACCTGACTACTGATTCCTCTTGCAACGTCCCCCACCTTGGCCCCACGGAATTCTCTGATGTGCAGGTTCTCCCCACTAAGCAAGTGGATTTCAATCTTTACCCCTGAAAAACAGAAATGGCAGTCAGATTAATTACCAAGTCCAAGAGTCAGAGGGACAGCCATTTTGATTCCAATGATGCTTTCCAGGTGAATACTTGCAGTGTCTTTTTACAGGAGAAGGTTATGGACTGTGGGAATTATGCCATCTACACTTGGAGAGCAGAGGTTATATTCAACTGCTAATCCCAGCTAAAGCAGACCACTGAATCAACTGCTGAATGGTGAATCAACACTTCCATAATTCACACTGATTCAACAGGCCTATGATCACAGGTCTGCGACTACTGGTGAGATTCAGGCCAAGAAGTCCAAATTACACTACATGCAAGGAGCTGCTGCTCCTTTAAAGTGTGTCAGAAGGTTGACAGACTTTGTACCAGGAAAAATACCATGAAGTTAAATGGAAAGTGACAGTGCTTCATCCTAGAAAAACAGAAATAAAAGATGGTTACAGCTAAACTAAATTGTAGTGGAGAGCACCCTAAAAATAGGAGGAAGCCAGTGTATTCCAGTTACCATATATACTCAAGTATAAGCCTAGTTTTTCAGCACAATTTTTTTTGCTGAAAAAGCACCCGCCTCGGCTTATACTCGAGTCAGTGTCAAAATTACATGTTCTTCCCTGCAGTGCGGGTGTTCTCCGGACTTCCCTGCTCATCTACAGGTGCCTGCAGCCTCCAATGACCCAAGTTAAGTACACTGCATTTTTCAGACTCCGTAGGCAGACACCGTGCTGGGAGGATAATATGTCCAAATAAAGGAGCTGTAGATGAAAACTTTTTCTGTATTTCAAAGACCACTCTGAACAGAGGTCACAGTGAGAGCATCTTTGTTTACAAGCCCAGAGAAGCCCATTCACCCCCCTTCTTCCCTGTCAGTGATGTCTCTCAAAGATCTTTACGGGAGTGTCTGCTTCCAGGACACTCCCATCCTCCTCCTATTTTTATTTTTGAAATCTACCAGTAGCTGCCGCATTTTCCATCCTCGGCTTATACTCAAGTCAGTAAGTTTTCCCTGTTTTTTGTGATAAAATTGGGTGCCTCGGCTTATATTCGGGTCAGCTTATACTCAGGTATATACAGTAAGTGTTTTGAAACATTGGAGAGATTCAAGGGCCAAGCGTCAGAAAAGTCAAGAACACAGTGGGCCAAAAGAAGTCGGTTTGGGCAAGACATCTTGGAAGAACAAAGATGGAGAAAGCAGTGCAGGTCAGTGCTTTCTCTCCACATTCTGCTGTGTTGGATGGTGGTGGAGCGTGAAAAAGTCAACAGCCCAATATATCATGGGGCTTGGTGGGATGAAATGGGAAGTCAGCAGCCGAACCCAGACAATGGCTACGGTCTTGGAAGCAGGCCAATAGAAATATGAAAATTAATGTCAGAAGCATAAAAATAAATCAAACTGCATCATATCATATTGAACTGGATCAAAATCAAATCATATTGAATTGTTCTTGCTTAAAAAAAAAGAATCCTCAAAGGTGGTAATTCTGTAAAAATTTAGGGACACAAGACTCCTCACTGTTCTCTCAACTTTACAAATTCAATGTCTAAGAAAGAAAGAAACTACAAAAAGTAATTCAGCTTAGAATCTGTTTGTGTTTTTTACAACAAGGGGGCATAATCATCCTGATACAAGTACAAAGAGTTATTGTCCATAGAGCTTTCAAGAACTCAAGAAATCTCCCTGAACACAGCACCCTCCAGATGCATTGCAGTACAACTCTCATCCTCCAGCCAATGGGTCATGGTGTGTGGTGGTGATGGAAATTGTAGTTCTAACACATACAAAAAGTACTAGGTTAGAGAAGCCTTGACTAAAGCCCTCTTCATCTGATGCCTGAAACATATGGACTTCCTCAGATTATGGAGAGTAGAAAGTCTGTGTAGATATACAGTGCACATGGTTGCAGTGGGGTATGGGCAGAACCTGGAATACAGTGGTGTCTCGCAAGACGAAATTAATCCGTTTCACGGTTAATGCCGTCCAGCAAAAATGTCATCTTGCAAGGCACGGTTTTCCATAAGAATGCATTGAAATTTAATTAATGTGTTCCTATGGAAAAACAGTAAATATATAAATATAAATATATCAATCAATCAATCACTTACCTGTAGAATGTAGACTGAGCCTGGCTCCTCACACTGCCTTGGTAGCCTCAGAACAGCAGGAAAAAGAGCGACAAACAGCTCAGAGCCAGCACCCAGCAGGGAACTGGCAGCCATTTTCTGCTCTTCTCTACTCCAGCCCCCCCCTCCCCACCTCACAGCTGATTGCCGCTGGGTCTTAGAAGCTTCCCCAGGCTTGCCAAGCAGGTAAACAGGCAGTGGAAATGCACCGGGGAAGCCTCTGAAAGCTGCGCTTTGCTGGGGTGGGGTGGATGGGTCAGGGGCAGGCAATCAAATCATATTGAATTGTTCTTGCTTTTAAAAAGAATCCTCAAAGGTGGTAATTCTGTAAAAAGTTAGGGACACGCAAAGGGCGGCTTTCAGAAGCCTCCCGGGTGCTTTTCCACTGCTGAACAACCCCCGGGAGGCTTCTGAAAGCGGCGCTTTGACGGGGTGGATGTGGGGGGTGGCAAGGGCAGGCCTGCCACCGTCCCGCGCCCCTCCCCATGGCAAAGCGCACTTTCAGAATCCTCCCGGGTGCTTTTCCACTGCTGAACATGCCCTGGGA